TCTGTCTCTGTCTGTCTGGCAAGCGCACGCGCCCTATAGCAAAAACCTCTCAAAAAAAAAAAGAAAAGAAAAAAATTTAAAAATAGTTATTTAAATGAGTATTAGAAGTTTAACAATTGAGCAATGAAATTTTGATGAAATTAGTAATAAATATTATTATTCAATGTACATTTATTTTTCTTTCCTTCACTTAAGAAAATCAACCACAAAGGTTTCAATTGATAAAAGGGCTTAGCTGTCATTATAAATACTTTTAACATTTTCAAAAAACCTTATGAAAGTTTTTCAAATTTACTTGAGGTTAAAATCTTTAAACAAATTTAAAAGATTTTTTTAAACATTATGAAACTTCATTAAAGAAGGGAAAACTGAAACTTACTTATTTTGGTTTTTGTTTGTTTGTTTTGTTTTGTTTTGAGAGGTTTTTGCTATAGGGCACGTGCGCTCGCCAGACAGACAAAGAGACATAGAGACAGAAAGCAAGAAATCACCCCCCAGGGGTATGGCCACGCCACAATCCCTTCTCCTCCATTCTCCCCTTGGGATCTTGGGCACGCACGCACACGCGCCCAGCGTGAATTTTAAGCCACCAGGTCCGGGATTTGAACTGCGGTAGACTATGTGGGAGTCCAGCGACATAGCCATTACGCTAACTGCTGGTCCCAATTTTGATTCCCCCTTTAATAATGACGTGGGATGCATTATCAGTTGACTAAGATCCTTAATGTTCCTTTCAATTTGACTAAGTATTAAGACAGACCCCCTTCTTGACTTTAGAACCTTAATTTCTGTTTTCTTAGAGAAAAAAAGAAGCAATAAAACAAACTTGCCTATGTGAGTTGTAAACCTTTGTATATACCTCTTGCCAGGTTTACAAACTCAGACTATCTTTCTCCAGGAGCTGGAAGCCATCTTTTTGAAGTATAATTGTAAATGCCCCTATCTTGAGGTTTCCATGGAATATACTTGAGCACATGCCTGGCTCTAATTTGCAAACCTACCTCTGTCTTGAAAATAGGATAAAATTTACTTTTTTCGCTTTCTCTTGCACGGCCATCGCCAGAGCTGCAGCGGCCAAAATGAAGTTCAATCCTTTCGTGGCTTCTGACCGAAGCAAGAACTGTAAAAGGCATTTCAATGCACCTTCCCACATCCGAAGGAAAATAACATCTTCCCCCCTTTCCAAAGAGCTGAGGCAGAAGTACAATGTGTGATATATGCCCATCCGAAAGGACAATGAAGTTCAGGTTGTGTAAGGACACTATAAAGGTCAGCAAATTGGCAAAGAGGTCCGAGTTTACAGGAAGAAATATGTCATCTATACTGAGCAGGTGCAGCAGGAAAAGGCTAATGGCACAGCGGTCCATGTGGGGATTCACCCCAGCAAGGTGGTTATCACTAGACTAAAGCTGGACAAAGACCACAAAAAGATCCTTGAAGGGAAAGCCAAGTCTCGCCAAGTAGGAAAGGAAAAGGGCAAATATAAGGAAGAAACGATCGAAAAGATGCAGGAGTAAAATAATCCTATCTACCGTTCTTATTAAAAAACTGCTAAAGTGAGAAAAAAAATTACTTTTTTCTCTGGATAGTTCCAAGAACCCTCACCACAGCTATTAAAACTGTTGAGCCTTGGGAACCAGCAGTTAGCGTAATGGCTATGTCGCTGGACTCCCACGTAGTTGACCGCGGTTCGTGTCCCGGATCCAGTGGCTTAAAACTCACGCCGGGCGCGTGTGCGTGCGTGCCCAAGATCCCGAGAGGAGAATGGAGGAGAAGGGATTGCGGCGTGACCATCCCCCCTGGGGGGTGATTTCTCGCTTTCTGTCTCTATGTCTCTCTCTGTCTGGCGAGCGCACGTGCCCTACAGTGAAAATCTCTTCCAAAAAAAAAAACTGTTGAGCCTTTATTTCAGTGGAGTTAAGGTCAGACTATTTTCTGGCTTCTTCCCCACTGTTGCAACAATCTTGAATAAAGTCTTCCTTACCTGTGTAAGTTTTTCTAGTGCAATTTTTGCTTTGATAAAACATAAATAAGTTAATATGCACACTTAATATGAAGATGAACCCATTCCAAAACAGCTTGTTTTATGTGTGAGGCAAAGCATTTTAACCTTTATTCAATGTATGTTTGGTGTTAGATAAACAATTAAAAACATTTTGGTCTGTTTCTGTATTATTCCAGTCATTTTCTAAATATCTTTCTGGCTTTCACAGAGAAACACAAAAATTTTTATAGTAAGTTTCCCAGTTGGTTTAGTATCAAGAAAACTTTGCAAATGGCTAGTTTGTCTGTCTGTCTGTCTCTCGTTTTCCTCCAACCAGTGTCTAATTTTACAGGCTATGTATTATCTCATACATGGGTCTATACTTGATATGAAATCTACTAGTGTATTTCACTAGTAGTTTGGGTTTTCCAAACAAAAAGAACTAGTGAAATGTATGTGTATGTGTATATGCCTTAAAAAAAAAAAAAAAGACTTTTTGTCATAGGGCACAAGCACTCACCGGAAAGAGAGACAGAAAGAGAGGTAAAGAGAGAAATCACTCCTGCCCTCCCCCAGGGATGGCCACTCCTCTGTCCCTCCTCCTCTTGAGATCTTGGTATGTACACACATACACCTGATTTAATTATCAGGCCAGGGTCTGAGGCACAAACTGTGGTCAGCCGTGTGGGAATCCAGTCCCTTAGGTACCAAGCCACCTGCTTGCCCCTGTATATAGACTTTCATTTTTGTTTTTTGCATTCTTTCACTGAACATCATCAAAGCATACAAAATACGATTTCCCATCCAGAATACACTGAATAGTGGCTTATTCATATGTGTTATTGTCAAGAAATAATGTTCTATTTCTTGTTTCTTGTATGTACATATATATTTTTTTTCTTCTCCCTCTTCCTAACCCTCTGTCATTCCCCACCCTCCTCCCACATTGTCTCTGATGTCTGCAATTGCTTTACTTTCCTTTTATATTTTTTCACACATTTTATTGGCTCACAAAATACCTTAATGAATCTAACTACTTTTTTTTTTCCCCTTTGGAGAGATTTTCACTGTAGGGCGCGTGCGCTCACCAGACAGACAGAGAGAGACATAGAGACAGAAAGTGAGAAATCACCCCCCAGGGGGGATGGTCACGCCGCAATCCCTTCTCCTCCATTCTCGTCTCGGGATCTTGGGCACGCACGCACACGCGCCCGGCGTGAGTTTTTTTAAGCCACCGGGTCTGGGACACGAACCGCGGTCGACTACGTGGGAGTCCAGTGACATAGTCATTACGCTAACTGCTGGTTCCCGAATCTAACTACTTTTCAATAGCAAGTTCAGCTGATAGGTATGTATCTGTGAACATATTCTACTGTGCGCATGAAACTCTGTGAGTAGAATGAATATCCTATAAAGTAGCACACTTTATATAGGCTTTTTATAAAAAAGAAATTGTCTCACATGGTTGTGGAGGCTAAGAAGTGCCAAGATACATAGTCGGTACTCGAGACATTAGTATAGTTTCAATCTGAGTCGAAAGACTGAGAAGCAGGAAAGCTAGTGGTGTAAGTTCCAGTCTGAATCCAAGTCCGAAGGCAGTAGACCAATGTCCCAGCTCAAAGACAGTCAACCACAGAGAATATATTCCCTTAATCACCCATTCCATTCAGACCTGCAGTAGATTGGATGAGGCATATCCACAAAGCACAATTATATTTACTCGATCTACTAATTTCAAATGTTTATCTCATTCAGAAACACACTCTGAGACACATCAAGAATAGTGGGTAGCCAAATACCTAGACAAATGGTGGCTTAATGAAATTGATGTGTAAAATTAACCACCTCAACTACTGACTTGTTTTCTGTGATGTTCACTGAGCCTAAGATTCTGAATGGTTCAGACATGCATGCATTTCTTTGACATTTTTATGCAATAAGTCTCAATATTTATCAATAGTATTTCTTCTTATCATTGAACAATCAATAATGCATGCATAATACTATGTATATATATACTACATTATATATGTGTGTGTGTGTGTGTGTATATATA